TACTTAAGGTGATTATTACCATGTTTGTAACTTTTTTTCTATCTGTCACAGGTTTTTTTTTCCTTTTTTTTCTACCATTTATAGTTTTATTTTATATAATTCCTGTTGGTTCTTAGATATCAATTCTACTTCTTTTTACATTTTTATTAATCGTCCTATAGTTTAAATTATTAATTTTTAATTTATGTCCGCCTTTAGATAACAATATAATGATTTGTATGCCCTGCATGATCCTTATAACAGACTATTCCCAATTCTTCCCTCTTTTCCCTTATGATATTGCTGTTAGTTGTTTCAATTATGTATGTGCTACTTATATCCAATACATTATTTTTATTTTAAACCATTATATTTTAGATCAATTAAGAATAAAAAATAAGCCCTGGTCAGTGTGGCTCAGTTGGTTGAGTGTCATCCCATGCACCAAATGGTCACAGGTTCTGTTCCAGGTCAGGACAGATGCAGGCTTCATCCCTAGAAGGTGGCATGCAGGAGACAGCTGATGTTCGCTTTGTCTCTTCAGACTGTGGTGGGGTTTTTTGTGTTATTTGTTTATTTATTTTTGCCTTTCAGCTTGGCTTATAAAATTTTGTTGAAAATCAAACATGACGTATTTGATAATAGGAACTCAGACAAATAGACCTCTCCTATCACCTTTTGTGATGATCTGGCTGTGTTTAATGTTTATGGCAGCTGTACATGGCAGAAACTTTAAGTCCCTCTAGTGTCCCTGTCTTGGCCTCCCTCTGTCTTTGGGTTTTGCTAAGAACTCCTCTTTAGATAGCACCTGTGTCTTTCCATTTTAATCTACTGTTATTAAACATGTGCCCTGTTGGTGTGACAGTAAGGTGTAGGGAGGGAAAGCGTTCTATAATTTTATGGTTAAATCCCAATCTTTTAGTGGGCCTTTTCCTGAAATGTGACCTTCACAAGGGTTTCTTCGTTTCCTCCCCTCTCCTTAGATTAGCCGGGAAAACTAGAGTAGACTGGAATCCTCAGGGAAGTGCCCTTTCCCCAAGTTGGATAAGGCTTTGGAAAGTTTCTTTTCTCCTGGAGTGTAGGCATTTGTTAGGGAGAACACTACAGGCACATTTTACAAAGGTTCCTTTCTTCTCACACTGACAGAACCAGGAGGGGGATCTTCCTTGGTTCTTCACCATGAGGATCCAGAATAGTTCCTGGAGGCAAAACCCCAGAAAGAACAGGGACTTCCTAAGAGTCCCAGGAGTTTCTGATTCTCAAGCCAATCCATACTCAGCTCCTATCAATTCATCACAATTATCAATTAATTGCTACCTGTTTATGGGTCCCGCAGCTTCTGCTCTAAGTGAAGAGATCTTAGCTCTGACTCTGGATTTGTCTGTCTCTCTAGATTCCTGGGTGGTGGTTTCCCAGGCAGCCTCAGTTCTCTGATGGATCCAAGAAAAGTGAATTTTCAATTTGTTAAGCTTTATTTTTAATGCAAAGACAAAAGTGACAATGGAGATGAAAACAGAAATTGCTTATGGTCATTTTTTACAATATATTTCTAGAATTGTTTTGTTAGAAAAATTTTAAAGTCTGATTATTCATAGCAATTGGAAAGACCAGAATGTCAAGACTTTGAATAAAGTGATCTATGTTCCTAAGTACATACGGTTAGTAATTTTTACACTGAATTTTATTCTGTAATAGTTTGTTATCTTTGGGAAAGTACTAACTTAAAAACCTATGACTGTTAAGTTATATTAAAATTGAAAATGTAATTGAATTCTCAATCAGTTGAATATATGTGTATATATTGATGTACTAGTATAGTGATAAGTACTATCATGGATATTTTACAAATCTTATCCTCATCTTGAAACTATGTGAGTTAAATTTTATTATTCCCATTGTATAGATTAAGAAAGTGAGACATGGAAATTTGTGCTCTTAACCACTAGTTATTTTGTTTCTCTAATTAATTGGAAATTACCTATCCATTTTAAGATATTTGGGATGGTAGAAAGATATATGTTAAAGAGTTTAGCTAAAGTCAAATGTTTAGATTAGATCACTATGCAATAAAAATTAGTATCTGTCTTTAAAGCATATGGGTAAAAGTAACCCTTGATTACAAAAGTAAAATATTTTATTACCTACTTACCCGTTGGCATCTATACTTATTATTAATATAAAATATCTCTTTAATTTAGTACTAGTATAGTGATAAGTACTATCATGGATATTTTACAAATCTTATCCTCATCTTGAAACTATGTGAGTTAAATTTTATTATTCCCATTGTATAGATTAAGAAAGTGAGACATGGAAATTTGTGCTCTTAACCACTAGTTATTTTGTTTCTCTAATTAATTGGAAATTACCTATCCATTTTAAGATATTTGGGATGGTAGAAAGATATATGTTAAAGAGTTTAGTTAAAGTCAAATGTTTAGATTAGATCACTATGCAATCAAAAATAGTATCTGTCTTTAAAGCATATGGATAAAAGAGTAACCCTTGATTACAAAAGTAAAATATTTTATTACCTATTTACCCCTTGGCATCTATACTTATTATTAATATATAAAATATCTCTTTAATTTATGCTTTTAAAAACATGAAAGGAGCCCTACCTGGTTTGGCTCAGTGGATAGAGCGTCGACCTGTGAACTGAAGGGTCCCAGGTGATTCCGGTCAAGGGCATGTACCTTGGTTGCAGGCACATCTCCAGTAGGGGGTGTGCAGGAGGCAGCTGATCAATGTTTCTCTCTCATCGATGTTTCTAACTCTCTCTATCCCTCTCCCCTCCTCTCTGTAAAAAATCAATAAAATATATTTTAAAATAACATGAAAGGAAGTAGAATAAATTGAATTGTTATGCAGTTGACATCCTTAACATAGATAATAAATACTGCATAGATCTTTATTTATTTGTGTCATCACCACATGCAGAAAAATCTTTATGAAAAATTAATAATATACTATTCAAATCTCATGTGTATGTTCTGTAAAATAGGGTGTCTTAATCTTAGTTCTAATCTTTAAAAAATTTTACTGTAAACTATAATTATAGTAATCAAAGTTGCTTTCCTGTAAGTAAGTTATGTTAAAATACAGAGTGGATACCAGGAAAACACGTTGGTCTACGATCTTTCATGTCTACAATTTGTTGACCCAAATAATCTTAATTAAGAGCTGAGAAAACATTTTTGCTGGTATATGAAATAATTAGCTGTGAAAGTCATGATCGGAGACCCTTTTAAGATTTAGATTTTAAGTGCTTTCTTTTCTACTTGTCAAGTCTTGACATTTTATCATTTGGTATTTAAGAAGTGGAGATTAACCTCCTCCCTACAAACACAGTAGACAAATTATATTTATGCTAAATAATCAATACTATTAAAAGCAAGCTGGTTTGGATGGTCAAAGCATTGACACTTCTGCCCAAAAAGATGTTTGCTCACCCACATAGGAACAAAACTCTATCTTCAGATGAAATACTATGTTTAAGTAATTGTTTAAAGTAAAATTTTCCAGTGGAAAAAGTATTATAACTCTTTCTAAGTAGTCTTAGACACCTTAAATTTAATATGTTTCAAACTCAACTGACCTCTGCCCCCACTCTTTTCTCCTATAATATTTAAATTAATAAAGTAAAAAGACTTCTTTGAAAATACTATTATATAGTTTACTTGTTTATTTTGTATTTTTATAACACATTTTTATAATGTAAGTTATGTAAGCTCTTCAAGGGTATGAATTTTTCTCTGCATTAGTCACTGATAAATTCCAAGTACCCAGAACAGTGCCAGGCACATAGTAGATGTTCATTTATAATTGGTTCAATGAATGAGTGTCTCCTTCTACTAGAACAGTGGTCAGCAAACTGCGGCCCCTTGAGTGTGGCTCTTCCACAAAATACCACGTGCAGGCGCGCATGTACAGTGCGATTGAAACTTTGTGGCCACACTCAAGGGGCCAAAGAGCCGCATGTGGCCGCAGTTTGCCGACCACTGTACTAGAAGGTCCCTAAGGGCTGCAAATTTGTCTGACTGACAAGTATATTTCTAGTGTCAGAGTAGACATTGAATAATAAATATCCCTAGGCAGATCAGCTGAATGGTAGATTGAATACAATTATACCAGTATTGAAATGCTGATAGTAGAAGGAAAACAGTATGAATACCCTCTGTTCTCTATCTCTGAGCAATATATCTACTTACAGTGATCCATTTTACACAAGTTTGCCTGTTATACTCTGGTACTCGTGAAAATAAATATTTGTTAAACTTTTGATGACTTACAATGACTGTTTACCTTTTGACTTGATTTTCCAGAAGATTGAATTAGCTTAAATGACGGCTATTGAGATAGGCAGGCTATAAAGCATTGTTTGAGCTTTTCAAGTATGAAGTTTGCATATTCAATTATCTTTATCATTTAGAAAATTTCTTTCAGATACAAATTTTAAAGGATTGCTATAAAAACCATTTAAAATGGCAACAATACTAAAAGTAGAAAAGTCTCCTTGAATGTAACGTTGCGGTCTCATCTATATTTGTATGCATATAGCGGATGCAATGATGATTGCAGTCATTGTGAAAGTGGTAATAACTACAGCCGACTGAGCATATGTTTATACAATGATCTTTGAGGAGTTTGAAGCCTATGACTGTGACATGCCGTCATCTAATCATGACTTAATTAAATATAAACTAATCCTGTATTCTCAGCTGAAGTTCTGGGTCCAGGGCTATTATACTGTTTATTTTGTTAGTAGATATATAAAAACGCCTGGGTGGCATACAGCTTGGAGAAAGCGCTCACACTTGATTTGGTTTCTTTATCACTATCACACTTATGACAAAAGATCTCTGCTTTTTCTCTCTAATCCTCATCCCATCTTTCTGTGTTAATATGTTTCCCTTCAGACATAGCACAGTAAGCTCAGATTAATAAGGACATAGAGTCGCATTTTAAGATAACATTGATTCTGGAGAACAACGGAGGATGCTATGTTTTTTCCCTTGAAGAACTGATAGGGTGGAATTCTAGAGGCACCATATGATGTCCTTCTGAAGAAATTTCAGGGGGTCAGGAAACCCAGACTTAATACCCACAGAAAACGGCAAGAGTATGGATCTCCATCACCAGGGGGCCAGGTGACACTTGAAGGTTAATATAATATGATTTTTTTGGACATGATTTTTCTTCGCTTTTACATTTTCACAGAAATGCTGTCCACTTCTTTACTAAATCTTCGTTATTGGTTTTTTATCTTTCCCTTTAGGAATCACAAAGAGAAGACTTTGAGATGGCAATACATCTCAGAAAATGTCATGTTTGTAACATGCTGATCTTCTGAATATTTCTACAAGGTATGCTGCTGCATAGCAATCAAGGATGTGGAGGACTCTCCTGCTGAGCTAACATGTTTCCATTGTGATGGAAAAAAAGTAAAAATTATAGTAACTTTGAGGGTCAGTAACACAACTCTTCCACATCATATGCTTGAGTGGAAATAGAGTATGTCAGCTGGATTTAGCTACTGCTGAGTTCTTAAACCTATTTAATATCAGGGTGGTTCTTACCAGGCACTTGCAGTCAATGATATTTAACTAAAAAATAATAATAATAAAGATGCTCTTTATTTACAAGAGAATAGTTTGCTACTGATCTCTCTGATTACTTACTAATAGAAGCTTCTGTTTACTGACAAAAAATGATTCTGGTTATAATGTTAATGAAATTTATGAAGTAACAATATAGAAAAAAAGAGAGCTAAAACAATGTGAGTTTTTTTTCTTTCTTTCTTTCTTTTTTTCAGCTACCCAGACATGTGTTCAACCCAAATAGGGAGGCATCTTCAGAAATTCTTCACAATCACCCAAGAAATCATAAAATGAAGGTCCTATGATCGTTGTCTATGCGAACAAATGATGCTTAAATAGTTTCAGAAAGATTGGAATAGAAAGCAAGCTCTGTCAGTAGACCTCTCAAATTGTGTGTTCCTTGTATTCCATGGATATAGTCATTCAAAATAAAATAGTATTATGATAACATGAATTTTATAGCAGCCTTTTTTGTGCAAATAAGCCCCATAGATAAATGTATAATAAAAGCAACCATTACCATAGGACAGTATTTTACACTGCAAGTGTGTGATCAATGTAACTGAATCCTCAGAAATCTGGGATTCTGAGCATCAAGCCACTCAAATGTTTTGTCATTTTTATTAGCAAGATAAAAACCAAAGCACTATTTCGTTATTGACCAGAACAGTCTTCTTATTTTCTCACTTTTGCAGCTTTTCTCACCAATACTAACTCAGTGTTTTATCTTCAACTAGTTTTAATGATCTCCATAGCCACTAATATAAACACAGGATAAATTTATAAGCTCAGGGTTTTGGTAATGTTAGTCAAGTATACACCAGATAAAAGACAGTGTCATCCATTTCTGAGGCAAGCTGAGTGAGGTCATGAATAAGATTGTGGCAGAAGCCTGCCCATTGACTTAGGAATGGGGACTGTAGCCAAGATATCCCAAACACATGATCCTACAATATATTTTATCAATACTTGCATTTGTTTAAAAATTAAAATCAAGATATTTTATATAGCAACCCATTTTCTGTTGAAAATGTTTAAATTCTAAAAGTAAGAGCTGAACTCCTTCATACACCCTTCCGCCTGCTGCATATATCCGTGTCCTCAGCCCTTCTTCGGATTCCGTGTTTACAAGGTCAAGAGGATGGACAGGAGGTTTCAGTGACCAACGCCCGCTCCAGGCTTATTTTATTTTGTTAACAATGTCATGTCTGAGAATTTAAACGGAATGTAAAGAACAAGACAGTTCTATTCACTAAAAAAGGGATTATGTGTTCTAACACTAACTTATCAGTATGTTTTGGGAGTATACAAAATTGCAGAAACTTCTCTGTAGATTTTTCCTGGCTCATTGCATGCTCTATACTTGGGTTTGACCAAAACTGACTTCCACATAACATTTTGTATATTACTCTCCAGTTTGAGAGCCTGTAATAACCCCTTGTTGCTCAGTGGATACAGTCTAAGGTCCTTGTATGAATTCTTCTTTGGCTTTACCTTGTCTCTTTTGTTTAATTCCTAACATTTTTAAAGTGACTTTATAGAGTTTGAATAAATAAATAATGAGAGAAACATAAAAGGTCTCTATGTTCGTTTGTTTTTGTAATTATAAGATTTAAAGGCAGACCAGTTTAGTTCAAATTCTAGTTTTCCACTTACTACATATGTGGACTTGACTATTATTTGACCTTTACATTTCTGAACTCTAGTTCATTATTCCTGCTCTTATGAGGATAAAATTATGTAAGAATAATTGTCAGTTATCTTCTTTTTTCCATAGGTGTCATCATTATGTTACTTATACAGTAGTGTTCCACTTGCTTAGAACATCTCCCAAATGACTTCAATATAAGAAACATAATCACCCAATATAAGAATTCACACCCATCCTTATATCCTATTAACATATTCTGACATAGAGTTTGCCCTACAGAATTAATTCTTTGTTTAATGTATATAAGTTTTATCTCTATAAGTATATTTTAACCTTTCAAGGACAATGGCAATAGCTCAAATATGTGGATAAAAATAGCAGAGATGGTGAAAACAACTGGCATTTATATGTGGCTTTATGATAAGCCAAGGGCTCTCATACTTTATTTGATTTACTACTCAAAAATCTTTGTGATGTGTGTAAGGTAGGTCTTATTTTTGTTACCCTCATTTCATATAAGAGTTAACTGAGGAGTTTAGAGGAAATGTAGATTTCCTGCACATGGTTTAAAACCTTTATTTATATCTTCTGGCCCTGGATCCACAGTACTTCAACTACACCATATTGTCTTCTAAAGAATAACTATAGTAGTATGTATAGGGCTGATTGTGAGAATAAGTCCATTGGCTGTTGATTTATAAAACCTGAGAGGGGTCTTAGAATACACACAATCTTTTCTTTATAGAGATTCACACAATGTGTCCTTTTACTGTCATCATCATCTATACTAAATATTGCGATGAATAAAATTGCTGTAATTTAGAGGCAAGGGATTTCTTATTTACCTGGGATTTTCAGACAGAGAGACCCTGAGAGAAGTTTTAACATGATTTCAAAGTTATTAACAGTGGTCACGTAGTCCAGGAGTGCACCACAGATTTCCACACCTTTGTATCATTTTTCTGACCCCAGGTGTTTGAGTTTGATATATCTGGCAAACACATTGTCTATGAGTAATGTTTTACCCTTGGAAACTTTTTTCTCATGACCCATTCTCAAGTATATTATTTTTCAATAGGCTCTGGGATTCAGCTTTCACTATTACATATAGTTTCTACCTAATGGATTCTGTCTCTTCTCTTCCTGATTTTTTTCCAAGTTAATTATTTGTAGTGACATTACAATGAATAAAAAGTCTACAAGGTGAAAAATAGAAAGAGGGCTCACAAATAAATGGCTGACCTAATGATGGGTCTGAAATATATGCCTCATGAAGGTACAATACTCTTTACATTTATTTTACAAGGTCATAGATAATGGTTCTGTGTTACTATAATCATATGGAGGGCACGTGATATAACCCAAGAGAGAAGCAAATAGATCTGGGCACTGGAGACTGCTCATGTGAAGGAAAAGGTCAGAATACTGATGGGTCATTTAATGGATGGTTAAGTTTTCAGAGCCAATGTGGTTCTATACAAAGAGACTGGGATTAACTTAGGTTTATTCATCCACCTTTCTGGCCAGTGAAAAAGATGCAGATACAACTAATTTTATATGAATTCTTATTATTTATGTTTTTTTCCACTTAACTTACTGGTCAATCAGGCTTTCAGAACCAAGGTAGCTCAATTCAAATGAACTGGGATTATTTACTCACCTTTCTGGTAGGTGAAAAAGTTGCAAACACATCTATCTTTATATTGGTCATCAGCCTGCAATATGAAAAAGATTCTTCAGTAGGTTGTGGCACATACTTTGTGAATGAATCCAAAATGTCATTTTAATGTGATAATTGCTATTCCTTTTCATATGAATTAGTGGTTCTCACACTTTAATAAGCCTCAGAGTCACATGGGGAGCTAGTTAAAACACAGTTGTCTGTGTCTCTCCTCTCTGGTTTAACAGGTGTGAGTTTAGACTGGGGAATTGTATTTCTAACAAGTTCCCAGGTGATCAAGGCTGCTTAGTTGTGAGTAGCATTAATCTAGCTCGTCTGTGAGTAGGATTTATCTAGCTAAGAAGAGGTATTAGCCTGAGGCTATCCAGCAAATGCCTCTGTGCAGGGCTTGGGCGGGGCGGGTCCCACGGGATCAACAGGGTGGGCGGAGTGAGCAGTTATGGCTGATCTCAGTCCTGTCCTCAGAGGCTCTGCCTCTCAGTGTCCCAGCAACCGCTGCAAACCTCGGAGAGAAAGCTGCCCTCGAGTTCCAACCGATGCCAGACAGTCCCGCTTCTCCCGTTTGAGTCTGGGTCCCTAGAGACTCGCCCGGATCTGGAGCTCAGAGTCTGAGGCTCCCTCCCGATTGAAACAGACAACCGTGCCCTCAGCCGCCAGCCCTCTCCGCTTGCAACCTCTGCACCTTAGTATTTTCCTTCCGCACTGTGCCTCCTCCGAATCTCGGTATGCTTTTCTCTTTCCTCCTAGTTGTGGAACTTCCACTCAGCCAGCCTTCCTGTGGTTCTGGGTGATGTCTGTTCCGTCTTTTAGTTGTATTTTTGAGGTGGTTGTGCGAGGCAGCAATCTCTGGTGTTTACCTATGCCGCCATCTTGGTTCTCCTGTAACTCTTCTTTTAATGTGTGTTTGAAAATAAGTATTAAGTTTGTTTTTCTATTTTTGTTTTGTTTTGTTTTTCTTTTACGGAGACATTTATCCTGCTTGTCCATTCAGGAGGGGATGATCACTAAGCTAGCTGCCCTTTTGCTGCCTCCTTTAAATATTATATGTCTTTTTCCACTGACTCTTTTGTTTCTTCTTATTATTTATATATTTTTTCTATTTAATTTACTGGATGATCAGGCTTTCAGAACCAAGGTAGTTCTATTCAAATGGGCTGAGATTAATTATTTATTCACCTTTCTGGTGGGTGGAAAGGTTGCAAATACATCTAATCTTTATATTGTTCATCAGCCCTCCCTGTGAATAAGATAATTCAGTAGGTTTGGCACATACTTTGTGAATGAGTAGGGTTCCTTTGACCTTTAATTTTCGAACTGCCTCTTAATTATTCTATGCCTGCTATTCCATTTTCACTTTGCAAGAGCTGTTTCTTTGCTAAGTGCTCATTTCTTTTTAAAATTCAGTTTCTATGAGGAACTTTTTCTTAACGTTCTTTGAGGAAATTTAATTTAGATTTTGGGGGGAAGTTTTCTTCTCTGCCTTATATTGCCTTTGTTTCCTTAAAGTTTATTGTAACTTTTATTTACTTTGGCCTCTGAATTTTACATTGAAATCTCTCTCAAATGTCTGATAATCCTTGGCTACCTGGTCATATTTATGAGTGAAATAGTGAAAATTCTACTCTGATGTTCTCAGAGAAGAGGGTTTTCATGCAGTTACTGGGTGTGTACCTGGGAGCCACCCAATAACTGCATGATAAGAATTCATTGATCTTTTGTCTAAGGGTGTAAGGCAGGCTAGCAGCTTTCTGGGAGCCTAGTGAGAGAAGAGAGCTTTGGTTAAATAATAGTTGGTATATAGACTCCCGTGGAACGCTGTTTTTAGAATGGTTTGGCACCCTTGTTTTCACCTATTGCTAGTATTCTGAAAACATACTTCTCTCATTCAAACTCCAACCTTCTATGAGTGGGGAGCACAGTGGTTGAGTCACAGAAATCACCTGATAGTTGGAATTGAGGAGCGAACCCAGGAGAATTTAACTGCCTCATATAAAAAGTGTCAGTCTTTTTTTAATTTAACCTTTAACCTTGCTTTCAGAAATACCTGATGCCTCTGTTTTTAGTTATTTCAAAAGTTTAGTGGACAAAAAAGTATGCTTTTGTCCCAGTAATTCTCAGCCATTTACAAAATTTGTATCAAGTCAACTATCTGCTTCCTTGATTCATCTGATGGTTTACTATAATTTTCATAGGGTTTCCGGAGAAAATGAAGATTAACTCTTGTGTTCAATTACCAATTGCTAAGAATTCTCAAAATTAAATGTATCAAAGTAAGGGAAAAAGGATGTGCCTGGTAATGTTGGAGGAGGTCATCAAGAGGACATGACCTCCAGTTGACCTGTGCACTGGAGGCGCAATCAGGAGCTCCTCCCCCATCCCCTGTTCCTGAAATGTACATCCTGCCCACCCTTTCCACACTAGGAGTTGTTCAAGCATGTAGCCTATAGAAAGGTGTTATTGGACTGAATATGTGACTGGCCCAGTTAAGGCCTCTATACAAACGTAAAATGGCGGCAGGTGCAGAGATCTGCTTGTCTCCCAGCTCCCCCAGACAAGTCTGGTAAGTATGTTCCCTTGCTTATTTAACCTGCCACCTACCAATCTGGAGTGGCCTGCTACTTGCTTTGGTTATCCTTTGCCCGCTGTGTCTGTGTCTGTGTGTGTGGTGAGGAGGGGTTGGTAAGTTAACCAGTAAATGTAGTAAATGGGTTTTTGACCTTTATGTGGGGAAGGGTGGTCTGTTAGTTAACTTCTTATGTGCCCCTACATGAGAGTGGAGACACCCTGAAAATGCCAGCTGGTCTAATGCTTGTTTGAGGAACTGCATGTAGCTCTCGTCGGCAAAGAAGGGAAGCAAGTGGCTGTGGGCAGTGGGCTGGCCTTGGCTGTGGGTAGCGCTCAGCCACCCATGCCTAACTGGAGAACTGGAGGTGGAAGCTGGAGTGAGAAAGTTGGAGGATGAGCTAAGGTTAGAGGAGGACTTGTGTCTACAACTCTTCTAGCTTTGGAGTTAGAAAAAGAGGTAGGGGAGCAGGATAATACATTGAAGACTTTAGTGTGCTATTTTGTAAAGCTAAGAGGGTGCAGCTGCCATGGATAAAGTCCAAGTGCTTGTGACAAAGCCT